GTGTGTTGTTTTTTTTTTTTTTTTTTTTTTTTGTCCCAAAGGGCAACTAAAAGCTGTTTTAATTGCACAGACACACCGACAATAAGTCATTTTGTATATGCCAAGTGTGGTACCTTCCTTTGTTTATTTGCTATTAAACTGTTTGAGAAGAGTCCCTGTGTGTTGTGTTTGTGTCTTAAACTTGAGGTTCTTTTTGGATCCAGGTATGGGATGCTGAGGAGAGATGAGAATTATCTTTCAGTTTCTTACTTGTGAACTACAAAAATTTTCATGATCCAGTGTCACTTGTTCTGGATGCACAGACTTGCTTTCCATGCTGATCGGCTACTTGGAGTGCAATTGAAAATGTTTTTATGGTTATTTAGCTTTTGTTTGTGTCATTTCCTGCTCAAATTCTAAACACCTTGGATAATGCTAGTATGTGGTTCACCGAGGAATGAGTTGTAGACATACCCAGCCTCACACCTGCCCATGCATTATGCTTTCTGGTGTTTGAAGGACTGATTAACTCCAGCACAACACCAGACCTGAGCTATCAACAGAATGTGTGCATCGTGGTATGTAGCATTGGATAAGCACTTCTGGACAAGTCATCTCATTCTACTCCTACGAGCCCCATACCTTCCACTCCCTCAGCCTCTTCACCCCAGACAAGACTAAGCTTGCAGAACTTGTCCTGAATCTGCAATGTGGAAGTGCCTCTAGCCCTCGTGCTCTTGTCCCTGGAAATACTATTCTGGGAAATCCAAGCAGGTTGGGATTTTCATAAAACCTCTTGGAATTTTATAACACCTCAGGACTTAGTAGCGTAAAAGTAGAAACTTTTACAATAGGCAAAAATTTGTGATAAGCAAAGCCTGCTTTGCTTTTAGAACTGAAGTACAATAACTACTTGTAATGTGTTGTCTAAAGGTTAATATTTGTCATAGGCAGAATATAATTCATTCAGAAACTTGACACTAGTTTGATGTTAGTATTGCCCCTCTCAGAGGAGAAAGTACCACAATGACCATGAACTCTGTTATGTTTGTGAACAATTCTACAGTTCAGTAGGATATTTCCTTCTGCTGGCTTCCATCTCAGAGTGCAAGCACACCCAGGGGAAGCTATATTCCTCTCTCATGTTCTTTTCTTCTGTTAAATGGCATACTTGGTTTCACCCCATTACTTCCTACATGACTGTAAATCTGAGAGCACTTGCAAGCACCAGGATTCACTGCTGCATTCCTTCCTTTGCAGTACCCCATTGCAGAGTGAGGCGCCAAGCCACCTGTTGCATAGTGTGCTGGGATCATTGCAGTTAATTTGCAGCTGTTGAGAAGGAAGGCTGGAGATATTTCAGTTCAAATATGTCTGAGGTGAAAGATGGAGAGAAACAGTTGAATCAGAGAAGTAGCTTGCTTACTTGGGATGGAAGATTCCCTCTTGTACCACAAAGACGGCAAGCCCTATCTTACCCAATTGGTTAATAGCAGCTTTGCCCATTGTAACTTATGGAACTGATGGTAGATCCCTCTGGGTAGATAGCATTCTTCTTTAAATATTTTGTTTGTTTATTTATTTATTTTGGGACGGTATTTTGTTTTGTTTTAGCCTTTGGAAGTCCACCACCAATCAATAGACTATTAAGCTATAAATAAGAGCCAGTGTATTAATCTCTGAAAATTAGCAGCATTTTACATAGGTTCTTAAGTTCATCAATATCAACAGGAAAACACAAATCTATGGATTAAATCCTGATATTGAATGCTTTAGGATATATTATCTTTCTCTCACATTCTCCTCTAGCTCTCACTGCTTGTTTTGACTCCAGGCTCCAATATTCCTGATTTTTTACCACTATGTTCTGCTGTCTTCATGTGCCCAGGAGCCACAGGGGATACATTATGAAAAGTAATGGGCAAGGAGATTAACAGCTCAGCATGATCACTGTTAGAAAGTCAATATGTGTATGACTATAGCTTCACAGTATAACAGGTGAGATTTCGTGATTTCCACGCATCTTGCAAGTTTATTTGCAGTTCCATTGATAACAATTGATGGTTTAATATAGAAGCTGTATTGTATTTGTATACAGTACACAAGCTGTAATGTATTTGTTTCTCACGTGATCTAGAGCAGTCTTGAGTTGCAGACTGATCATCCTGCCACTAAATTCTCAGGTACACGTAGTCAGTGTCTAGGTGATGCTATCCACTTACCTCTCAGTATTTAGACAGGTTTATTGGGCTCAGGGTGGCTACTGTTCATATCACAGTATGTTTCTGTTTATTGAGGATGATTAGTTCGAGCTTGGTGGTTCTCTAAACTCTAAGTTAAAGTTTTCATCTTGGCAGATTATTGGACTCTTAGGAGACTAAGCACTGTTTCATTGGAGAATAACATGCAACACAAAAGCAAGGAAGTACACTGTGATCAGCAAAATGCAGGACAGATCATTTCCCTGGTAGAATGGCTTTTTCAGCCTGCAAGGTATCCTTCTTCATGGGATGTAAAAGCAGTGTTACAGTAAAGTGGCCCAAAAATATTAGAATGAATTTAAGTTACAGACAGGTATGAAAATAAAGTGAAGTAGTCTGCTCCAGCAAAGAGTTATGTGACTTTTTTTGTTTCCCCTTTTTGAGTCCTGACTGGCTTAATTCTTTTATGGCTGCTGTCTCTGGGTCTCTAAGTTTCTACAAGTCCAGAAATCTGATGGCCGCATCATTATTATTGCTTTCCACAGGGATCTCTTCATCATGTGTCCATCCCATAACCCACCTCTGGAGAGGCATATAAAAATCACTGCAGGAAGGAGAGTTTTTTATATTCTGAATCTGGCTTTTAAAGAAACCCTGAAATCTAAGGGAACTAGATAATTTTAAGTGTTGGCTTTGTGCATTAACCAGCTCTTTGTTAGCTTTTCTTTCCTTCAGTTGTCTGTAGGTTTTTTTTTTTTTCCATAGTTTATTTCCATAGTTGGGGTATACAGAGGCTCTGCTGAAACACTTCCTAGCACATCACCTCTCTAAAAAACAATGCTAAATTAAATAATGAGATTACCATAGAGTTTACAAGCTCACTAAAGAAAATAAGCCTGATGGTATCAAGATTTCTACCATTAAGAAATACGTATTTTCAATTGTTTTCTGATAGAATTTTGGATAAAGGCATGGATGGAATCTCCAGCCTCTGATTCCTTATTCTTGTGTGTCCTGATTTCTTTAAGAGTATTACGTCAGGAAGGCTCTTTTGGGTTTGTGTTTCCTTAGGCAGCTATGACCCAGACCAGGATGATCCAACCAGCATTCCATCAGTTATCACAGAATGGCCCAGGTGGGAAGGGACCTCAAGAATCATGAATCTCCAACCCCCCCCCCCGCCAGGGTCACCAACCTTCCCATTGAATACTAGACCTGGTTGCCCAGGGTCCCAGGCATCATATTCATATAGAAGCATGGACCTAACTGGAGATATGCCTGCTTCTGTATTTGGGTCTGTTGAAAATCTGAATTGCCATTTCCAATTGGCCAGTAGAAGACTCACAAAACTGCATCGGGGATTTCTGTATCTGAAAAACTTCGTATATCCCTGATGCATCTTCATACCTCCCACAGTTAGGTATTTCTTCTGAAGGGCAGAGTAAGTCTATAGACGGTTCAAAGGCTGGGTCCCTTAAAAATGCATACCAGATCAGTAGAGGTATGAAACTTGCTTCCTAGAGTAAACAGTCTAACTTTACTCTTTCAAAGATAGGAGAATTAAAAGCTATCTTCAAATTGGGCTGAGAATCTTATGTAAAGCAGGTGGCACAGAAATGTATTGCCTCAATTCATTGTAATTCCTCATTAACGTTCAGAAAAGTCTGGATGTAGAACTTCAAAAATGCGTTTAACAAATTCTGTTGAAGACTCTTGGACTGTCACAGGTATCTGATGGCAGTGAGCAATCAGTCAGTCACAGACAAAGTTTTTCAGGGTGGTTATCATCTTGAGAAGTGAAGCCATTGGTGGCATATTGGCAGTGAATTGATGACAGAGCTGATCCTTGAGCACAGGAACAGTCCCCATTGCCAGCTGAGGTCCTCAGAAAGGAGGCAGAATTTTGTGCCTGGCAAAGTATAGAATTATAGAATCCTTAGAGTTGGAAGGGACTTTTAAAGGTCATCCAGTCCAACTCCCCTGCAATGAACCAGGGCATACGCAGCTAGATTATGTTGCCCAGGCCCTGATCCAGTTTTGCCTTGAAAGTCTCCAGGAATGGGACATCTAACACATTTCTGGGCAACACGTTCCAGTGCTTCACCACCCTCAATGTGTAAAAGTTTTTCCTTCTATCCAACCTAAATCTACCCTCTTTAAGCTTGAAACCATTTCCCCTTGTTCTGTCACAACTGACCCCGCTAAAGAGTCTGTCCTCCTCTTTCTTGCAGCTCGCCTTTATGCAGTGAAAGGCCACTATTAGGTCTCCCTGGAGCCTTCTCCAGGCTGATCAGCCCCAGCTCTTTCATGCTGTCTTGTACGAGAAGTGTTCTGTCTTTTGGATCATTTTTATGGCCCTCTCTGGATACGCTCTACTATCAGGCACATTGTTGCAAGCAGAGTGTACGTACTGGAATTTTTGAATTCCTTTTTAAAACATAACCTACTTCTTAGAGTATGTATTGTTCCTAAAGATACAACGCTAGCTGAGTCTACTACCTCCCAGACTACCCCATCACCACAGTGATTTTGCGAAAGAAAAGGGCAAGTGAGAAAAGAGAGGCAAACATAACATCCCTGTGACTGCAGCTGATTGTCTGTCTCTCCATGAGGTATTTATAAGCTGCATTCTGGCAGGCTGGGGTGGGCAGTTGGCTCACCCTGACCTTGGAGGCTGGAAGCCTGACCAGCATTCCTGGGAGCCACGTGAGCCAGATTGGCAGGAACAGCTGCAACCAATGGAGATGCCTAGCAGTGGCTGCACAGATTGAGTTTCACTCCAGTCACTTGAGATTTTTCTCTTTCTCCCCCTGTTGTGCTTTTCGTCTTTGTTGATGGCGTTGGACAGGCGAATGCACTGATGTAGTCTTAGCAAGCAAGATATTCGTTTAGTGGATTTGGGATTCTACCTTCATTGCCAAACAACCATTTCTTGCCGTTGCCTTCCACAGCTCCAGCTGCCTGGCATGGCTGGGTTTTTATAGCTCCAAGCTTTCTGAGCACACAACCTGCCCTCCTGTATTAGGGCATTTTATGTTGTGTTCTCTCAGGCTCTTCATTTTTGCTGCATTTAGAGATTAGTACATGAGGCTTTTTAATGCATGGGAGATGGGTCAGGACCAGACAAAGCAACAGATAGAAAAAGGACTCCATCTCTACCAGTCTAATCAGACTGAAAAGGCTCTGCAAGTCTGGATGAGGGTTTTGGAGAAGTCTGCGGATCCTGCTGGCAGGTTTCGCGTTTTGGGTTGCCTCATCACTGCTCATGCAGAGATGGGCAGATACAAAGATATGCTGAAGGTAAGGCAAACTGGAGATGAATGCATGCCATTGTGTTACACCCACTACGGAGTGTGGCTGGAGATTAGAATGTAAAATCAGGGCTTTTATGTTGCATATAGTAACATGTACTAGCTATTGGGAGCATGTTGTGAGCTGCCTTAATCGCTGTGTTGATAGCTCCAGCTTACAAGATACACAAATTCTTATTGGGCCTCATCCTTTAGGATTCCTAGGTTAATGAGGTTCTCTAGGTAATCATGGGGACCTTTCTTATTTATTCCTCATACAAGCACGCCATGTGATGAAGCTTCAGAGAAAGGTATGAAAACAGAACATTTACTACAGCAAAAACTGTTTTCAGCATGTACCTCAGAGTAAATAGAGATCTTCAAGTAGATTCTATAGAATAAGCAGCAGTCTTGTGAGGAAATGTCTGTTATCTTGTTCAACTGCTTGGTATCTGTCACAGATCTGACATTTTTATTACAATTGTTTGCAAGGGGACTGATTAAGAAGGGAACAGAGATTCTTTTTTGGGAGTAGGGGGTGGATGTTGAAAGATGTTCAAGGAGGAGTCTGACAGTTGAGGTCAGAGAGAGGCTCCCAGTTGTGAGGACAGCATTGGAGAAAGGATATAGGGCTTGATCAAAGAGTGGCAAAAAGAAGCTGAAGCTGCATACAGAAATGCATGAGGATAAACACATTGATGAAGTGAATAAGAAGAAGCTGATGAATGGATCTGAGAAGTCACAGGATGCATACATATAGTAGCAGACAGTGTCTGGGAGAGTGACTGAGGAATCTGGAAGACAGGACAGTGTTTTAACAGTCTTAAGTAGCTATCCCAGCCTAAAATAGGGTCTTACTAAAGGGCCTTGGTGCTCTAATGTTTTTGACCGGCTCTTACTAGACTAGTAATCATTCAGCACATAGCACAAAAGGTGAAGGGGGTGCCACATCTCATTGAAAAATTCCTGGTAGCTCTGTTTAGAAGTGGTGGGGTCATCTTATGAGTGAACCTGTGCACATGTCAAAACCTCATCTACAAAGCAGATAATTAGCATGAATGAAAAAAGGGTATTAACACACATGGAAAACATCTGAAGACAAGAAGTTCTGAGAAACGCTGTGGGATAGGTGGTGGCAGAAACAACAGATTGATTAGGGAAGAGAGAATCCAAAAAGGTAAGGTATAGCTACCTGGGAAGCAGGCAAATGAGTGAACCCAAGATACTCAAACCATAATTTGTTACCCCTGAAGAGAACAGAAAGAAGAGCTCGGACTAGATGAATTTTAGTTCCTCTTAGTATTAGGAAAAACAAATAGCTTCATTCAAACTGAGTATTTTACTGCAAGTTATCAAAGATAGAGGATGGAAAACATTAATATTAATCACTGAGAGAGGAAATAATGGGGAAAAAGGGGTCTTTGAATTAAACACACGAAATTAACTGTGATTTAAGAAGAGTTGTTACGCTCAGTCTCTTGGAGAGAAAAATTGCTTCACACCATGGAATCAGGCTGTGGCAATCGAGAAGTAATGAAGAACTTACATAAAGGTAAGGGAATGCAGGAAAGAATAAGCTAACACATGCTAATGAGTCCACATGGCAGCTTTCTTGAAATGCTAAGGAGAGGGTGGACATATACACCCAAGCATAAGCAGCTGTATTGGTTTCTACTTTGTGGAATATATAACACGTTCTAGCGGATTAAATCATTATGTATTGCCAATGTGCAAAAATGAAGCAGATAGTGCCTTTAGGAATTGTTATCTGTGAATCTGACTGCTTTAATGAAAACGCATATGGAGAAAATTGCTGAATATTTACCTTTGTTATGAATGTTAATTCAAGGCAGCAGTGTGCTTGGTTCATCACCGAGCACAGAAGAGAATCTCTGCTCAGAAGAGCGTGAGGTCTAAAAGAAAATAGACTTAAAATTTACTAGAACTGGAAGCAGGGAATCATAGAAGAAAAAAAACAATACTAGACTATAATTTTTAGTATAAAATTGATGAAATAGCTTACTTAGTTTCTTTGAGTACTTCAATATCTTAAGCCTTCTAGAGAAAGCAGAATTAATTATGTGAGCAGAAGAAAGTGGAGCTGCCAGAGGTTTTCTGCCTCTCCTGCTTCTCTTTAGGGTCACTTAACATTTTTCTTCCACTAACTGCCAGCTCAATGTCCATGTCCAAGAGGCTGAGAAAGAGGTTTCTTCAGACTGTTCACATGCATAGACTGCTTACGTGTAAACCTTCAGATAATTAATTGCTTGTTGTATACAGTGCCATGTGATCCATGCTGCCCTACTCAGGGATGTGCCACTTCTCCAGTGCAGGGTGCTACTCTGTGAGTGTTTGAGCTGTATTTAAGTAAATTACATGCCTTTTATAAACACGGTCTTTTCTACTTGAAGTTCGCAGTGGTACAGATTGACACAGCACGGGAGCTGGAAGACCCAAATTACCTTACAGAGGGCTATCTAAACCTGGCTCGCAGCAATGAGAAACTCTGTGAATTCCAGAAAACAATATCTTACTGTAAGACATGCTTGAACATGCAGGGTACTACTGTGAGCCCGCAGCTGAATGGCCAGGTGAGCCTCAGCATGGGCAATGCCTTCCTGGGCCTCAGCATTTTCCAGAAGGCTTTGGAGTGCTTTGAAAAAGCTTTACGCTATGCACACAACAATGACGACAAGATGCTGGAGTGTCGAGTCTGCTGTAGCCTTGGGAACTTCTATGCCCAGATAAAGGTGCAGTAATCCAAGGGGGGGGAGGATGGGAGGGCAATTGTCTCATAATGGAAAGCACTGTGAATTTCAACTTATATCTGCTGTAGGAAGTGAAGTGCTGGCAGAATGTTCCAAATTTAAATATCTACACTGTAAAATCATCAGAGAATACTCCTCTTTGTAGTAAGGATTGGTGGAATGCTTATGTAGTACAGCAGAAGCAGCTGTGAATTGAAAAGATTAAACTTAGCTTCAAAGATCACATCAGAGGAGGCAGTATCTGCAAGCAGGCAGAACTCAAAGGGTTCTAGTTCAACTACTGTTGCAGGCAAATTGTTATTTGTATTTACAAAACCAGGCAGGAATTGAGGGTAAAGTGATTTGCAGTTCTAACTTCCATTATAAATGCAACAAATCATCTCCCTTCTTGAAAAAGTCTTGATTTTTGTCACTAATGGAAGACTCGCTAACTGAAGTATCTCACTTAGATATCTTTAATACTTTTATGTACTTATCATAAAACAAGGTTTATTTCCAAACTTTTTTAATGCAGAAAGATGTGTAGATTTTTTTTTTTTTTTTGCATGTGTGTTTTAACTAGTTACTGTGGATTTGCTGAGGCCATTGTTATTTTGTTCCTGCTTCCTGCAGTGCTGAATAACCAGCCTCTGAGAGATCCTGACTTTCCACATGAAAAACATGAGGGCTCCATGTATATGCTGAAAGCAAAGATAACATAAAACCAGAGACAGTTTTCAGGCTTCAGCTATAGAAGAGAACAAATGATTCTGGCAGCATATGGCTGTTGGCGTACTATATAAAATTCATATGCTGTGTCATTTCTCACGTGTCCTGAAAATAGAGAGCAATATGAATTCAACACATGGCAATTCCACCTTTCACAGTTTGATATTCACATCAATAGAGGAAGCAGGGCACATGGAAGAGGACAGGCAGGGGAAGAAAGGCGTACAAAAATCTGCTAGCTGTTGCAGCATTAGTAAATCAAAAATAGTTGCTTTTGTCCCTTCTTTTTTTTTTCTTTTTCAGTCTTTTGCTGTCACTACTGTCTGTCTGCCTTACAGGACTATGAGAAAGCTTTGTTCTTCCCATGTAAAGCAGCAGAGCTGGTGAATGACTATGGAGCAGGCTGGAGCTTGAAGTACCGTGCAATGAGCCAGTATCACATGGCAGTGGCCTACCGGAAGCTGGGGCGCTTGGCAGACGCTATGGACTGCTGTGAGGTACAAGGGTGCAAGCACACAGAGCTGGCAGAGGTCTCTGCAGTGGGATCTTACCTACAGGACAGGGCTGGGAGGAAAGGGAAGCCATGACTTTCACACCTGACTCTAGATATTCCCACTGTCTCCCAGCCTTAGAGCTCTGGTTTTAGTAGTAGTGTGTGCCTCAAAATTTGAGCCTATGAATGTCCTCTAGTTAGGAACATGAACAAGACTGTACTTTAAACTAACTAAAAATGCTGCGCCATTTCTCCAGAGTTGACCCTTCAGTGTCTGGAGCATACAGCCCCGCTCCGTTTGTTCTCCCTTACTGACCAAAGACCTAATTTCTTTCAGGAGTCCATGAAGATTGCCCTTCAGCATGGTGACCGGCCTCTGCAGGCACTGTGTCTGCTGTGCTTTGCTGATATCCATCGCAGTCGCAGAGATGTGCAGGTACAGCTACCATGAAAGACAGAGGGGATGGGAAGAGGGTGTGAAAAGCGGGTCATAGCAAAACATGTGTTTTCCTTCCTGCCACTGCAGACAGCCTTTCCCCGGTATGATTCTGCCATGAGCATCATGACAGAGATTGGAAACCGCCTGGGTCAGATCCAGGTGCTGCTAGGAGTGGCTAAGTGCTGGATGATCCAGAAGGAGCTGGACAAGGTCAGTAACAAACGTGTTTCTGCATAAGTCTTTCAGATGAGATGAGAGCTGTCATTTTCTGAGCTGAATGCCCATCAGATGCATAGAGAACTGTCCCCCTTTTTCTACCAGCAATCTCCTGCTTGTGTAATCGTATTTCTCCAGATGGTTCCTCTAAGCCAGGAATTAGTTGCTAACAATATGAACATCCATTCTGAGTCAGGCTGGTGACCTACAGAACTGTCTCATTAGTCAGTCCTGATGACTTTAAACAGTACACTGAGAAACCAGCATTGAGGAAAGGAAGTCTGCTTCTGCCACTGAAGGCAATCAGCTTATTCGCTAAAATAGATTCCGCTGCCTACTCTCTAGCAGTATGACTAAGCTTATTACTGTGATCATTTTTAGACAGCCCTACAGCTCCACCATGTGCTTTGCAGACAAATATGACCATAAATTCCTGGAGAAACTAGAGGTGTATAAATCATGACGTGAAGCAGAGGAATGAGCAGAAAAGGATTTGAGAACAGACAGCGGGTCAATATAGTATAAGAGGATGAAGTTCACTGTTTTGAAAGTGCTTAGGTGGTGTATATGTCTTAAAATCCAGACTGTACTAGATGCAGCAGATCCCACTGTTAGTGGGCTGGAGAAGAAAATGCTCAAAAGTTAGTCTTCAGTGCTGAAGGACCTGGAATGTCTACATAGTGACACGCTGGGGTGCCATTTTGGGTGTAGATACCTGAAGTTTCACTCTTATCAATAACGAGAGAGACAAAGTATATGAGGTAAAATGAAGCTTCTCAGAAGGAAAACAAGCATGTACCTGTCAGAAAAAACACGCTCAAAGTGCAATCAGCATCTGAGTTCCCTACAGTGGGAAATCAATTGGGTAAAACACACATTGCAATCTTACTAAGTAAAAACTGTTTGCATTGGAAGAAACTGGACTTAAAAACTTTGCCTAATGAAACCTCATATATCATGTATCTTTCATATATCATATTCAAAAATATGGGACAGGATGCAGGTAGACTGCTAAACAAAAAAATATTCAGAGCACTCATCTAATCCCTACTCTCCCTCATCCCACCTTCAGCCACTGCCATCCTCTGATATTACAGGCAGATCTCTGTGAAACCCTGGCAAGGACTTTGCAGAGAGCCCTAATCTCATCGGTATCCGTAAAAGAAGGGAATGTGTTTTGGTTTCTGCACTAAGTGTTAGAGGCAAATCTGTCCTAATGGTCAGGGCCCATCACCCCAAACATGACCTCCTCAAATGTCAAAGCACTGAACGATTGCCCACTGCTATTCCTCAGTTTACCCGTCCCAGTTTCCATTTCTCATGCTGCTCCATCCCAGTATCAGTTACTTAAGAAAGCTTTCCACTTGCAGATTCCCTATTCTTATCCTGGCCTTCTTGGGGCAATTTCCTCAGACAGTTAGTCCCACTTTCCTTTCATTGCATGTAGTTAATACTGTGTCTATCCCAATTCCTTCCAGCTGCTGTCACAGCCTATTTGCCCAAACTCTCGTGCAGTCTCGTGTTCCTCTCTTAGAAAGACTGTCCCCTGAACTTCTCAAGCATCTCTTCCTTCCACTTTATATACTTCACTTTCTTAATCCTAGTAATTACTTTCAAGTTTTCCAGTATACAGTCACACTTCCTAGGCACACCCCTCAGTAATATGTTACCTGCTGCCCATTGATTCCTGCCTACTTCCTCTGCAAGTCCCTTATCCTAGGCTGTTGCTGCTACAGATTTAATGCCTTCTCCTCTGTATTCAGAGTGCATTCTTTCACCTCAGATGGTTCTCAACTCCTATAACTTGGCATCACCTACTATTCCAGTGTGGAAATTTGATAATGTTCCTCATCAATATTGTGGTTAAGGGCAAATGTCTTCTTCCCCCTCAACAAACCTGAAGTGGGTCTTAGTCTCCATTTCCCAGAACTACAGAGTATCAGAACAGCGTGGAACGCTCTGACATGTAGGGGAAAGTAGAGATTCATTTGATATAACAGTTGCCATACTAAACACTTTCCTTCAAACTGAAAAGATTACTCGCAGTACACTTCTACAGTGTGCTATATGTAAGTAGGACAAAGTGGATGCATGAAGAGCAAGAAAATGGAAAAGCCCGTTGGTAGTGCTGATCTCTTCCTCTTGTAAAAATGGTGGGATATATCTACCAGACAGCCATGTGTTCATGGTTGCAGGGATGTTTGTTCATTGAGATTTCACACTGTATCTCTTCTTTCAGTTCCTGTCAGAGTATTCATATGTGTACATTTTTGTTACATCAGACTGAGAATTGGTAATATATGCTCTCCATTTACAGGCTCTGGAAAGCATTGAAAAGGCACAGGAACTGGCAGAGGGACTAGGGAACAAGGTAGGACCCTATAGCTTCTCTTCATTACTTTCTCTAGTCTTCTGTCAAGCTATTTAATATTCCAAGCATTACAGCATCCAGACTTGTTATTGCTTACTGATGAGTCTGTATTAACCAACTGATGATGCTTTGTTGTGTTTAGTTATAAGCATCAACTTGCATGTCTGAAAAGTGAGGAAGGGGTTACAGTGGGATAAACAGGGAGAAATGGGGAGCATTAAAAACGCAGTGTGAAGCAACTGCAGAGCTGAAGGATTAGGGGTCTCCTCTTGAAGAATACTTCTGGCCTGTGCCACAGCTGAACTGAGTGCTGGTTGCAGGCAGAGGGAACCAAATGTCCTTATGACCGATCCTATCCCTTGGGCACCCTTTTATGCTGTCACTTCTCTAGCTGACTAATTGGGGCCGTAGTGGTCCTGTCCCTTTGCTAGTGCTCTATCTTCACCTTGTTCATTTTTATTGTTTCTGCCTCTCATGTGCAGCTTGGTCTGCTGAAGCTCCACTGTCTGTGTGAAAGGATCTATCGCACAAAGGGGCAGCAGCGAGAATTGCGTGACCATGTAGTGAAGTTCCATGAATGCGTGGAGGAGATGGAGCTGTACTGTGGCATGTGTGGAGAATCTATTGGGGAGAAGAACAACCAGCTGCAGGCGCTGCCTTGCTCCCACTTCTTCCACTTAAAGTAATGAGCTGGAAATACCGGAGATCTTTGCCCTTATGTTAGAGTAAGGAGCAGTTCATGCTCAGAACAGGACAGCTGTGTATGCTTTTCCCCAGGTGTTCTACACGATTTCATTAGCCATAGCCTTTAGAAGGTGAGATTTAGTTGTAACGTCCACTTCACTCCCTTGCCTTGTAGGCACTTAGCTCAGTTCACAGATTATCTGTTACTACCTTTTGGGAGATCTATGCTCCCACAGGCGGTTTGGCTTTTTTCCCTGAACCCCTCCATTTCACTCTGGTAGGTGAGGCGTACAAAGCTGAGTAAGGCGTTCAGTCCGTTACTGTGCTACTGTCACGATGGACATCGTCTGATTTTTAGTTCCAAAACTTAAGTATTTAAGAACATATCACTGATGTAGATGACACTACACCACTACGCGACTGCCCCCAGAGTCCAGGGGGGCTGCTGTCCCTAGCAGGAAAGGAGAGCAACGCGGCTTCCTCTTGTGGAGGAACGCGCTGCAGCGCTTCCACCAAACCCCTGTATGACAGATCTCGTGGGTGGCCGGGCCGGCTGCGTGCCCGCCCGTGTGGCCCGTGCTCCGAGGCAGTACTGACACCGGGGGCGGCGGAACCCCCTGCCACCCGCCCGCCTTCTTTTGCAGGTGCCTGCAGACCAACGGGACGCGGGGCTGCCCCAACTGCCGCCGGCTGTCGGTGAAACCCGGATACGTGTGACCGCGGACGCCGCCGGGCACGGGAACCGCGGAGCCTCCTACTGGAGGCGGCGGGGCGGGTCCTCGGGGCGCCCTCGGTGTCGCCGCATCGGGGCGCCTCTCTTCGCGCACCTCTGTACGCGCGCTGACCGGAATAAACGCTGCCGCCGCCACCAGCCCGTCTGCCGCGCGTGAGGGCGGGCGCGGGGAGGGGGGGAGCGGCGCTCGCGATGGCACCGCCCCCACCAAGATGGCGGCGGAGCCATAACGCAGCAGATTTGGCCGGAGCACGTGACCAGCGCGGCGGCCGCTGCCTTCCTGACCGCAGATTCGGCACGGGAGGGGCCGCGCAGCGGGGCGCCGAGGGCCGGAGTCGCGGCGGGAACGGGGTGGGGCGCGAGCCCCCTACGGCCGCTGCTGCTCTGCTGTGCGCCCCGCGTCCGGCGGCGGGAGAGCCGGATCCGCCGTGAGGAATCGGCCGCGCGTCGCTCTCTCGCTGAGAGAAAGATGGCGTCGGTGTGGGATGAGTCGGAGGTGCGGGCCGGGCAGGGCCGGGGGGAGCGGGGCCGGGCTGGGGGTCGGGGCTGACGGTGCCGTTGTGCCCCGCAGGATGGCGTTGGCGAGGAGGTGCTGAAGATGTCTACGGAGGAGATCGTGCAGCGCACCCGCCTGCTCGACAGCGAGATCAAGGTAGCGCGGCCGGCCCGGGGGGAGCAGGGGATAGCGCCTATCGAGGGGGGGGGGAGAGCCGGGGGCCGTTAGCGCATCGGGAGCCGAGACAGCGAACGGCGGGCCTGAGAGCTGAGGGGAAGTGTGGGAGAACGGTACGGCCCGGGGAAGCCGACGGACGGTTCTACGGAGCTTCGGCGCGGTCAGGCAACGCGGGTCGGCTGGGGCCTCAGGAGGGCCGTGCCGGGCTGCCGCCCCGCCTGGGCCTGAGTCTGTGCGATTGCAAGGATCTCTGTGGGCGGAGGTCGTGCCGCTTCTCGGGGAGGCCTGTAGCAGTGCGGGACCGTCCTCGTGAGGATACGAACAGCCTTACGTGCAGTCTGAACCTCTCTTGTTTAAGTCTTTGTTGCCTCTTATCTCTCTCTTTGGTTCTCGAGCCGAGCAAGCCCCATTCCTGCAGTTACCTCTCACAGCAGCTGTGCTCCTTCCAGGCCAGCCTGCTGGTCTTGGGCTGAATTCAGGCAGGGTTATCGGTGTGTTCTGTGTGGGGGGTCCAAATCTGGGTGCCATGTTCCAGATAGAATCTAACAGGTGCTGAGTAAAGAGGGATGATCACTTTCCTCCATTTGCTGGCTGCCCTCCTGCTGTTACATCATTAGGGTCCCTTTGAGTAGCAGCCCCTCCACCTCTGCGCACACAGACTGTTGCACTGTGTTGGTGTCATCTGCATATGTCCCCTCATCTTGGTCACTGAGGAAGTGGTTACATGGAACAAGGCCTAGACCTGACCCAAGATGGGCCCATTCCACCTGGAAGACAACTTTATCTTAGTCTTGTCCTGCCTCTTGAGGTTAGCAAGATAGAGATAAGTTATTTCATAAGCTGTGCAAGGCCGCTTCATCCTGCTGCTTAAAGCTCTACACGCGTTGATGACTTTGGAGCATACCCTTTTATGTGTTAAAAGGCAGCAAAAATAAATTTGTCTTATTTTTAAGTAGCAGAATAGAGTAAGCATAAGCAGCTTTTCCCATTTAATAGTAAGAGCATCATACTCAAAATAGCAGCAATATTTATGGGCACAATCCCTTTATGCAAGCTTGGAAACATTCAATGAATGTTCCTTGAATGTTTCCAAGAGTATGTAGAATAAAATTTCTAAATTTTTTGCATTTTTATATCACGGATTCTTTAACAATTATTGTAATACTTCTGTCCTGTGAATAATTATGTGCTAAGTACATTATTGTGCTTAACATCAAGAGTTTTAAACTTAGAGAAGAATGGATTTTCCATTACATAGAACCATGTAAGCTAGTTCAGGTGCAGTGAGTTCAGAGATCGTGTGGTTTTGCTGTCCATGGGGCTCAGACACAGAGCTGTCAGGCTGTGACAGCAGCTAGGAGCAGAAGTAGAAAGTGTGTGGTTGTCTCAGACAATGCCAAGAACCACCTGTGTCAGCTGTGGTAATTTGGGATATAAATGTGCTTGTTGGGTAGGGATTACAGAACTTTCTTATCTTCTATTTGATTTTCTTTCCAGTTAGTAGAAAAATTCACAGAAAAGTTTGTAAAATTACGTGATGATGAGATGTATGAAATTAAGTTATCTACCATGTGCCCAACATATTTTGGTTTGACTTTCTGTTTTTTTGGTGGGGTTTCTTTTTTTGTTATTTGTATGGGAACTGCTGAATCACAGCCTGAACCTCTGATTGATCACCTGAGGTGAGCTGTGAGTCAGCCCTGGGAGCACAGGTGAAGGCAATTCAACAATTCACCTGTGCTGCTGGAAGGAGTGGAGCCTGGCTGCACCTCTCCTAGACCCATTTAAGGGCTGACTACCAGTGGGAAGGGATCACTTCTGGAGATCTCTCCTCTGAGTTTTGTAGTGAGCCCAGGATAGGGGTAAGCGTTCTATCTATTTTCTTTTTGTTATTGTAATCTGCTTTGCCAAACTCTCTTGTTTATTTCATAATTATAACATCTTTATATTCATTGACTGTACATTATTAGAAAGGTTTTCTATCATATTGAGGTCCAGGTTAAGGTTACCTTGGGACAAAAAGGGCAGATCATAAATTGAAAAAAGGAGAGGTTCCTTGGGGCAGCGGGAACCTTCTTGTAAGGGCAGTCAGACAGTACAGTGGATTGTCCAGAGAAGCTCTCCTGCCCGTTGTGCAGTCCTGTCCTTAGGAGCTTTGAAGATTCAGTTGGGTAGAGTCCTGAGCAATACGGTGTGAACACAGCTGGCCCTGCTCTTAGAAGGTGGAGGTAGAGGTCCCCAGAGGTCTCTCTCAGCCTAAGTTGGCCTATGAGCCCAAGTTTTGCTTTGCTTTGCTTTGCTGTCCTACTGTTGGGAGATAAGTAATGGATGTTACTCTAGAGCTGGGTAATATGCTTTTTATGGAGAACAAGTGTTTTTCTCTATAGAAGCAAGTGGTAAGTTTGTTTCTTATGTGTAGGTCTTGATGTGAGTGGTATTGTAGATAAAGACAGCACCTGCATTTCTGTTTGTTCCACTGGAAGCAGTGGTGGTGCATCCCATTGCAAAGGTGCTGCTAGTCCCGCTGCTTCCCACTGATCTCAGTAGACACAAGCCCCAATTCTGCCATTCCCCATTCATGTTCTGTTTATTTTTATGTGTTGTTGTGGTACTTCCAGTTGCTGATCACTCCAGTGCGCAATTCCTTAAACTCAGCAACAAATAATTTCCAAGTGGATGCATATAGATGTGCACGTGTGTATGTTTATTTAGCTGAGTATCTATATATATGTATGTATGTGTATATCTAGGATGGTGCCATCAGGGTTTTGTTGGCTTTTTTTGTTGTTGTTGTTGTTTTTTTTTAAATCATAGGTTAGTTTATTCAGAACCAGGCCTACTGATAATAGATGGGGTCTACTTGAATCAAAGGGGAAAAAGGATCCTAGCCCAGCAGTTAGTGTGGCTCACTGAGAGGGCTTTAAACTAGGTTTGAAGGGGAAAGGGGATAAAATCAGGCTTGCTAGAGATGAACCTAGGGGCAGCATGCCAGGACTAGGGTGAGACTGACAGCCCAGCTGAAGTGCATCTACACCAGTGCACACGGCATGGATAACAAACAAATGAAGCTAGAAGCCACTGTGCAGCAGGAAAAGTATGACTTAGTCACCATCACTGAAACATGATGGGAACATTGTTGGGACTGGAGTGCTGCAGTGGAGGGTTGTAAGCTCTGTAGGAGGGATAGGCAAGGAAGGAGGTGCAGTGGATTGGATTTTTGTGTTCAGGAGTGTTTTGATGTTGTAGAACTTAATGCTGGGAATAATATCAAGTCCTTGTGTGTAAGGATTGGGGGAAGGGCAACAAGGCTGACATCCCAGTGAGCATCTGTTACAGAGACAGCTGGCAGACGCAATTGCTAGTGCTTGTTCTTGCAGAGGACTTCAACTTACTTAATATTTGCTGGAAATGTGGTACGGCCCAGTGGAAGCAGTTTAGGAGGATCGTGAACTGTGTAAAAAATACTTCCTGACACGGCTGGTAAGAAAGCCTATCAGGGAAGTGCCCTGTGAGACCTGCTGTTTACAAAGAAGGACGAGTGGGAGGTGTGATCAGAAGCTGCCCTAGGCATAATGAGCACAATATGATTGAGTTCTCTTCTTGGTGAGTCAAAAGGCGGGGGGGGGGTCACCAAAGCTGCTGCTTGGGGCTTCGGGAGGGCAGACTTTAAACTCTTCAGGATGCTGGTTGGGAGAATCCCTTGGGAGTTGGTCCTGAAGGGCAGAGATGTCCAGAAAGACTGGACATTCTTCAGGAAGGAAATCTTAAAGGCGCAGTAATGGGCCTGTCCCCCTGTGCCATAAGCTGAGCCAGCATAGAGGAAAATTGTCCTGGCTGAATGGGAAGCATTTGCTGAGAGTCTGGGAAAAAAAGACATCTTTGAAAGAAGGGTCAGGCATCTCAAGAAGAACACTATGTTGTTGCTAGGGTATGTGGAGTGAAAATCAGAAAAGCTGAAGCCCAGCAAGAGCTTAATCTGACCACCATTGTTAAAGACGATAAAAGAATGTTTCACGAGAAATATATTAACAGCAGGAGGAGGGCCAAGGAGAATTTTATGGGTGTTGTTTTTTTTTTTTGTTTTGTTTTTTTTTTTTTTTATGTGGTGGAGAATGTTGTTCCTGAGGATGAGAAAAAGGCTGAGATTCTCCATGCCTTCTTCACATCTGTCTTT